AAATATTGTAAATTAAGTGGTTTTAGCATCACTGTGGTAGCTCTAGCCTGTGGCGAGTGGTTGTACGGCTTGAAAACACATTATTATTGATACTAGTAAAGCTGGTGCTGACAGGCAAGAGTGACATGTTTGACCATTTGGTGGAGTGAATCTGCACGACCCCGTACATCCGCTTTTATGGGTCCACAGAGATTTGAGCGAACAGGATTTTAAAGTTTTTTTCCCTGCAGCTTTGGTTGTCTTTTGGTTGTCTCCTGAGTCAGCTGAAACTCTCTTAATGAATCCTAATAGATGAAATGCTAATGGCTCACAGTAGGAGATTGTTCATTTTTGTGGCGGCAGTAACTCAGGAGGTAGAGTGGTCATTTAATAACCGGAAGGTTGGCGGTTAAATTCCCCTCTATCCTGAGTCTGTTCATTGTGTCCTTGGGCAAAACCGCCTTGCTCCCAGTGTGTGTCCTCCACTGGTGTGTGATTGTGAGTGTTGTGTGGTGGTCGGAGAGGCTGTAGGCACAAACTGGCAGCCACGTTTCTGTCAGTCTGCCCCAGGACGGCTGTGACTGTGTGAGTGAATGATATATCCAATGTAAAGCGCTTTGAGGGTCTCTGATAAAGCGTTATATGAAATCTGATGCATTGTTATTATTTTGTCCTTGGAGTAGATTAACAGTTTATTTTCCACACAATTGAAGGAAGAGACAAAAAGTGACTCCTTCCACCCAAGCACAGCCTAAAAAGATGGAAAGGAAAACTCAGAGCCTGCAAAATTTGACTTCAACAAGCGTAACGAGAGGAAACGTTGGGGAGTGATGAAGTTGCTGCGGCAGCTCTGAAATCAGCACCACGGACAGCGCCAGTGAAAGTTCAGCGATTATAACTTTGGGATCCAAAAACAGCAGCTGGCAGAAAGTTTGAAACCGACTGTTTGACCTCTTTATCAAAAGTAGCAAAGGTCAGCTAGAAAGCTTTGTCTCTGAGTAAAATCACAGCTGAGAAGAAAAACCACCTCCTGTGTGTCTGTTCAGAAACACATGATGGCACGCCTCGTCTTGGACCTGAGCAGGAACATCTCCTCTGTGCAAACGCCCCACAGGAGCAGTAATGGCCGATCACCCTGCACCTCTCCAGCAGCACAGTGCACCGAGGACTATGAGTGTGTTTCCTTTGGTGTGTGTCAAACACACCCGCATTGATCCAAACTCAGGGGTTGTGATGCACACACAGGAAAAACACAGAGCAGCCTTAAACAGACACACACCTGCCTTCACACACAGGTGGCAGGACAGGTACAGTGAGCTGCTCTGTCCTGCCATCCACCGCTGGCAGATCTTTTATTTAGCCGCTGCAGAGAGCGGCTCCTGCTCATGAATTATGCAGCGGCGAGGCCCTGTAACAAGCTCCAGGCCGACTCTACACCTTGTGTGTGGCTTAAAATATAGATAAAAGCTGAACAGCCAGCTACAAACATAGGCTTTTTTTCAAGACAGAAGCAGGCCGGTGAGGAGAGAGTCCACAGCAATTAGGCCAGGCTGCTGTGCTGCAGAGTTGAGCCGCCCGAGATCCGCAGAGGAAAGTCCAGCTGTTGGCTGTGTGGAGGCAGAGAGAAAGAAAAGAGAGCAGAACGGCCGAGAGAAAGAAGAGAGCAACAACACTGAACCGAGCTGAACTTATTAAAGCACAACAGAGCCGAGCAATTCACACCAAAGAGGAACAACAACAGCAGCAGCAGCCGGATGAGCTTTATCTCTGTTATTAGCTGGAGATAAAGGGCCGCGTGTGTCCGCGGACATCTTTGTGTTGTTTTTCTGCTTTGAGCATCACACATGAAGGGAGCTCTTTGTGTTGCTGGGATGAGCTTGAAGTCGACTCCCTCTGCTGATTTCATAACAAAGCTTACGCAACTTCCAAGAAAAGAACAGCGTGTGCAGCAGTTGATTTATTTTTTCAGCGAAAGGATGAAGAGTACGCTGGACTGGTTTGATGAGACTTATAGAACAACAGGCAGAAACACACACAGACGCTCACGAGGAGTTTATTCATCCTCATTATGAGCAAATCTATGAAAGCGACAATAATGAACTTATTCAATGAAAACCTGCCTGACTATGAGAAAAATATAGTGAAAAGAAGTCTGAGGAATTATGAACTTTATCTACAAAGCTCTTTTAAGAATCTAAGTAACTTATAGGAAATATAAACCACGCAAAAATACTTTCATAAATAAAAAAACAACGACAGATAAATCAGGAAGGACTTGCTGATCAAATTAATAGCAGCACTTTTTCTCTTTTCATTTCACCAGATAAATGGATTAAATAAAAAAAGAAACAAAAGAACCACAGTATCCTTGCTACCGGTGGCCTCCATACTAACAACATCATAAAAATAATATCAAACATCAGGCTCAACTCTTTCAGTACAGAATTACATTAAAGCTCCTGTGAGGAACTTTTAGGTTGTGTCATGTATGGTGCCCCCTGAGGACAAAGCAGTCTTTGCTTACCTTGTCCTCTGCATGTATAAATGGTTTCTTCTGATGAAAAATCTCATACTCTAACAGTCAAATATATAAAAAAAATTCTCTGTTGTGTAAAAATTGTCATCTCTGTCACTGATTGTCTCGTTTGCTCTTGTATGTCATTAAGATACATTAATATAATATATAGTAAATTTTAAAAAGGTCAGATAAAAACTGCTGTCCGTAGCTTTAAATAGGAAACAACTTCTCTGCAGGGTTTATCAAATAAAACTTCCAGTCCAGTCCAGTAGGAGGCGGTAATGCACCTTCAAAGCTTGTTGCCAACTAAAAATAAAGTTAAAAGTAAAGATGTCGTATCAATAAGAGTCAAACTGCACACATATCGGCATTATCATGTTAGTGTTTATTGCAACACCAGAGGGGAATTTAACTGGTACTTTTAGCCAACTTTTGCATGCTAACCAACAGGAATAGGTCGGATTTACAGTCAAGTTATTTTTTTAATGAAGGTGAAGTACAAATCTACAAAAGAGGATTCGGGCCACAAGAAGAGAAATAAAATAATTACAGGAGGGAGATTTTTTAAATTTCCATTTTGAGATTAAAGTCGAAATTTTGAGTTTATTCTTGTCGATTTAAATCTCAAAATTTCAACTTTAATGTCGAGATTTTAATTTTTAATCTCAAAATTTTGACTTTATTGACATAATTTCGATTTTTTTATCTCGAAATTTCAACTTAAATCTCCTTCCTGTAATTTTTTTTTCTCTTCATGTAGCCTGAATCCGCTTTAGTACAAATCAACACTTAAAGTTCCTTTGGGGAGTTTTCTTTTCAACATGATTAAAACAGACTGAAATCCCCACTGAAGCTGTTTTATGAGATACAAAAGCAAACAAGACCATCAGCAATAAGAGGGACCATCTTTATATTGTTATTCTTGATGCCTGAACTTGAACAAAACGTAGAAATAAAAAGTTCTGCATTCCCTCCATTTGCCTCCACAGATGCAGGACACACTGATAGTGTTCATAGGAAATAAATAAACAGCATTAGGACTCCTTACAGTGCTTTAAAGTGCAGGGGTGTCGGTGAATCAGCTGATGAGCAGAGGTGATTGGATGACAAAGCTTAAATTCAACTTTCACACACAGTTGTAGAGTCAGCGTCTTAATAATTTAGGGTAAAACCTTCATGTGAAACAGAATCATAACATATGGAAACACATCATAACTGTAATATCTCCACAGTGTGCTTATAAATAGTTTACAGAGCTCCTATAATCCTCTTATATAGCATTTGTAATGGCATCACGACTCTTTGAACAAGAAAATATGTGAATGTCACCGCGAATTCAACAGTGGGTATGATATCATACAACAGTGAGTTATCTATTCATGGCTCCATTAATGAATCATAGCCTCCCTAGACTTTATACTCCAGACATGCCCTCTTTGAATATGTCATAAGCCCTTATTCTTTTTTAATGGAAAGGCAAATCACGGCCAAAACAAATATATGAACTTGTGCAAACATTACAGCAGAGGAAGGCGAGGGGAGGGGCTTACAGAAGGTTATGATGGGCCAATCCAGCAAATTGCAGATGTAAAGCGAGGGTGCTTTAAGGAGAGAATGGTGCAAAAAAAGGCTGTCTTTCTCTGCAGGTTACATTATTTATACTTTATACCCAGAAGGCTCTTTAAGCAAGTCAAAGCCTCTGTTTGCATCACTTTGCAGGCTGCACCTCAGGAAATATCAGTGCAGAGATGGACTGAAGTGTGTCCCCACAGGAAAAACCTGTGGAAAGGTCAGAGTTATAATAAAATGATATCCACACATCACTCTTCTTTTTTTCTGCACAGACACGTATCGTGGTAGTTTTGCAGGAAACCAAAGCTCTTTTTTTTTTTATTCATAGGAGCGCTCATTACTTCAATTACTTTAAACAGCCTACATGAATAAACTTTGCCCATGCAAATTTTTTCCCTGTAATGTGGTGCAGTATCGCAATCAGCCAAAGCCGCTCACATATCCAGGACACAGAATTATCCAGATAAATATATGTCCTCTGATCAAAATGCTTCTATTATCGCCTTAGTTTGGTCAACACTCATTAAAAAGACATAAAAAAGACCATATCCAGGGGTGGATCCAAGGGGTGGCCAATGCCGTCCCTGAAATTGAATTCCAGATGGCCATCTGCCCCCTCAGATTTTGTATGTAATATCTTCTTTTCATTTTTAATCTTTCTTTCTATTTCATGTAATATTTAAATTTTCCGGTGTAACTGCTTTGCTTTTTATTTCACACACTCCAAATTAAATTATTGGGAAGTCGGCACATAAATTTGAATAAATTCAAGAATCTTTTCTTTTCCTAATAGAACTTTTTCTCACACCCAGTATTTGTCGTTTGTGAAAGAAAATATGAAATAGCAAAGGAAATCATTTAATAGAAATGGCAGATTTTTAAATTCATCCTCTGTTTCAGAGCAGAAGGACAAACTGACCCAATTTTGCAATCAAAATCCTGAACATTCACTTTTTCCTCCTCGGTTTGGATTAAAAAGTTCAACGTCAGCAGCCCACTCCATGATCTTTCCCATATCTTCATTCTGAGAGGAGCTGTTCTCGTCCAGCAGCAGCGGCGGAGACGCTTCAGAGCATCCGATCATGGATTCACTGTGATCAGTCTTTAGCTCCGTAATCAACGCCTGGAGTCCGTTCCCTGCTTGTCGAATTCTGATGGATAAATAATGCACAGCTCAGCAATTAAAACACGCAGATCTGATGCCGTGTCACTAATTTATTGATTACCCCTCAGCGCTCCGAGATGACAGGGTTAAATGTCAATCAGATGATCTGAGTTGCACTTCAGTTGGAGTTATTCATTCCTCCGGCTGGCGGGAAGAATACAATTTCCCCTGTAATGGCTCTATGTATTATTAACTGTTATGCTAAGTTGTGTTGGGCTGCTTTCGGGAGATGCTGGGGTCAATCCCGATTAGCTTGTGCCTTGGAGGAGACTTTAAAGTGAATAAGGAACGGCTGAGTGTTTGATGTTGGCAGAAGCAGAAGACGTTTCAAGAAACGGTCTCATGAGGACGATGGCTTCTGTTTTCAACATGTAAAAAAAAACCTTTTTTTTAAGGTAACAAACAACCATTTTAGTTTTTCAAGATGTTAAGTGGAGCAATTCGAGGTCTTGAATTGGCTTTTGATGAGTCTTACGGTCGCTGCTTGAAGTCTGTATGTTTTTTTTTCTTCTCTACCCCGGCATCAGCATCTAGATCTGCCTCATGAAAACTAAAACCTTTAAATAAAAAGAGTGACAGACACTTAGGATGAATAATCTCCAGTGAGCCCAGATGTGGAGCCCCACCAGAGGAACCCCTGGAGACCCCGTCATCCTGACGTCTACGCCATGACAGAGGGGCCTGGATGTGCAACTCACCACCAGGACCCAACGGACAGACCTGATCAGCAGGCGGCGTCCACTCTGTCGGCCCACAGCAAGGCCTGCTGGGACAGGAGAGGAAGACAGACGTGATGTATGTGTGTGTGTGTGTGTGTAAAAGAGAAGAAGACAGATGCAGTGACCATGTGTGCCAAACCACCCCCACACACACACACACACACACACACACACACACATACACACTGTACCATTCAGCAGCTTTCTTCTTTGTTCGTCCTTCCACCAGCACAGATGTTGGAGTTGTTGAGAAGCCAGTAAGGCTGCAACCTCCCTGTCAATCAACTCAACCCACATTCTGAGAACAAACACACACACACACACACACACACACGCACACACACACACACACACACACAGAAGCTGGGGGTTATTCATGGTAAGCATACTGTATATACTCACTGCATTTCTGTGTTGCATCTCAAGCCACAAAAACTCTGGAAAAGAACCCCTCCTCCTTTTTTTGTTCACTGTGACCTCATTTGATGAAGTATTTTGAAATACCGTTTCCCCAAAATCCTGAAACCCAAGCATGAAATTTCTGTAAATGGAGGAACCGTAATAATTATATGAAGTTAGACGGACAGTTTTTACTTTGCGCAAAAGGGATGAGGAAAAAAACACCACAGTGAAATGACAACTCTGCCAGGAGGACCACAGCTTGCCCAAAGCAAAGAACGCTAATCCTAAATTGAAGAGAGCGGCGGGGGTTTAAGGAGGAGGAGAAAGATGCTGCAACAGCTTTTAATCCAGGAAAAATACAGCAGAAAGATGCTGCTGGACGAAGAAGTACCAAAACTTGAACCAGCAACTGGAGGAGACTGAGAGGATAACTGCATCAGCATCTGCATTCAGGTACTTTTATCTTCAGAGACTGTAATATATTGGGTTTACTTTGTGCATTTTTGTACATGGTTGTAGTTTATTTTGAACGTATTTTTCAGTGTTTCATTGAAAAGCTGTTATTAATGCTGCGTTCAAGTTACCTTGTAAGTCAGATGTCCGAGCTGGGAATGACGTCACACCCGAGTTACCAGCGTTTCGGTTACCAAGTCAGAAAAAAGCAAAATCGGAGGCGGAAACAAGATGTTGCAGAAGGACCGCATATTTGTCCAGAAGTTGCTTATATTCTGACAAGACGAGCGCTAAAATAACTTTCGTAGATGTAACCATCTTGTTTCCGCCTCCGATTTTGCTTTTTCCCGACTTGGTAACTGGACATTGCCATTACCCAGTTTAGTGCCAAACTGTCACATCAGGGGTGATAATCTAGAGTTGATACTGTCTACCTGGAGTCCGGGTTTAAGGAGTTTTCATTTGATGCATTATACGTTACCGCAGTAAAGCTGTGACGCAGTTGGTTACTTTAATAAGTCGCATTGATATCTGAGCGCCCCAGACATCATTTTCACTGCAGTAACACGACACGCGAATTAAAGGCTAGCTAACTAGCTGTTTCTGCTGCCTCTAGATTTTCTATTTCCTGTTTGCTCATCAATAGCACAAAGTTAATATTTACATCTAAAAATGATGTTATACTGCTACAAAACAGTAAAAATACTTCAGGTTAAGAGTTTGAGTTTCTCGCCACTGTCTTACCTTTTAACATTCCTCTCATGCCTCGGACGCACACACAGCCACCTGGAACAATTTTCAATTTCCATTTCTGATTCCTGACCTCTGATAATTGGCGAGCCGGCTGACTGATGGCTGCCCGAGCGCGGCGCGGTCCTCCTGTCACCTGCAGCGACGCGGGCTCAGCTGTGAATTATTAATGTCTAATATCATTATGTAGGCACTGCTTGTCATAACAATCTAGCCTGGTGGAGGGAAACTCAATCTGCCGCCCTGCCCCTGCACAGACAATGCTTTTTAATTATTGATACAGACTAATTGACTACAGGATTCGCAGGGCACAGTTACTTTTGTTCCCTTCACAGCTCGCCCCGCTCCTTCAAGAAACAATCTTATTAGGAGGCCAGCCCTCCTCGATGCCCCCATGTCAGCAAATTAGCAGAGAGGACGACCCCGCTCTCCCTCTCTCACCTCTTCTCCTCCTCCTCCCTACACCCTTTCCTTCCTCATCATCCACCTTTTCTTCCCTTTTCACTCAGAATTTAAGATTCTCCTCCTTCTCCTCCTCCTCCTCTCCTCACCTCGACATCGGACACCAGGTAATTAAAACGCGACAAGAAAGGTAGACGGTGAGTATTCCAGGCAGCACATTGGGATTCACGGCACACCTTCATGCCAGTGCAGGTTAGCTTCAGCAAAGACAGCGAACTAATGGACAGAGAGGAGACGGAGGTGATGCAGACTGCAGGAAGGTTAATCGGGTTTAATTAGGGTCATTGTGACGGTCCGAGGCTGCGGTCTGTGGGGCCAAACCTCTCTGCTTTACTGTTGTTAGCATATCATTTCAAATTAGCTCCTATTTTGGTATCTTACCACCCTTTCCTAACCTCTTGGATGGTTTTCAGGCTTGTTTACCAGAGATATGATGTCAAAATACAACAATGGGGACCACCTAGACTTCTCATATCATGGCACCACATTAGACCATGATATTACCGGCTTTACTTTTGATTAGTGCATCAAAAATGACCAGATTGACTGTATTAAACTCGGGCGCAGGGTTAGACCTTGTGCTGGAAATGCTGACTCAACATAACTTAAATCAATTGATCTTTATTTTTATATATCGCACCAATTCACAACAAGTGTTATCCCAACACTGGTCCAAATCAGATTCTTTTTACGAAGACCCGATGTAAAGATGGGATCAGATTGAGCAAGTGACAGTGGAGAGGAAGAACTTCCTTTGACAGGCAGAAACCTCGAGCAGAACCAGACCCATGCTTGACCGTCATTGGGTTTAGAGAAGGGATAGAGGTGAGATCGATGCATGTTGTTGAAGAAGTAGCAGTCCTGAAGATCCTACGACATGATGGAACTCAGGGACTCCCACAAACCCACAATGAGGCCTGGTACCAGCAGGAACAAAAGTGTCTTGATAGTTTTGGGGCCATGGTGGTACTTAAGTATGAAGCTTTTTAGTTGCAGTTGCAGTGGAGTAGGTATTGCTCACAACTTTCCTTTGTGTCCCACCAAAGTCTGATGTGTTTTGAGGCTTTTTGATTGACACATTTACCATGAGTGACACGGACAGTTACCCGCAATATTCTCATCCATTTGTCTTCTGATAGGAGTTAGAAACCAGTTTTTATGTCATGATCAAGAAGTTAGAGACAAGCTCTTAAAACTCATGGGCTTGTGTTTAACAAATAATATAGCTGCTGTATTACTCATTTATTATGTGTCAGATCAGTTGCATGTATCAGCTTCAGAAGTGGTCACAGATGGCGATCATCTCTGTCCTGTCCGCAGCATCAGCAGCCATCAGGAGAATAAGACGTGATGGAAACAGTTCCATCCACAGAGAGAAAGTCCGGCATAGCGGCGTCTCTCCTCCGCTTGTCTCCCTTCAAGACCAAGATCTTAAACAGCTTGGGTTTCTGAATTAAAAGAGCTACAAATTTGTCTGAAAAATGAGACGGCACTTGCAAATTTAATGGACCAAGTCTTTGAAAAATAAAGCTTTGTTCTGTGTATCATTGCCTATGACTTCCCTTCTAATCTTATCACTGACAAATCTGAAGTTTTCTTTTCTTTGTGCAGAGACATGATGGAATGAAGAGGCATGAGAAACCTGGTCTAGAGGTGGGTCAGAACCGGTGCATTACATTCACCTCCTACTGTTGTAAAGCAGAGATAAACACATCAGATGGAAGTTTCTTTGCCAGCTGAAATATTAATTTTCTTTAAACATGCTGTCAAATGCAAAGACTGCAGACGACTGAAAGTAGGGCAGCGCTGCAGCTGGCTGAGAGAGGCTGAACAACACCAGACAGACGGAAAGACAGACAGACAGAGAGAGAGAGAGAGAGAGAGAGAAAGAGAGCGAATAGACTCCCAGACATAGACTCAGACAGACCAAAGCAAACACGAACGACAAGGTTCTCACCACATCCCTTTCTACTGATAGATCTACTGATAATGAATAAGCTAGTTAAAATGAATCTATTCGAAACAGCTCTGTATGTTGCATTTTTACACTTTGAGTAACTATGACCTCTAATTCAGGCAACCCCTGCCTCTAACTGGGCCTCTTAGGTTATCAGACCAAAACAAAGATGACAGCGTTTGTCTGGAACAAAGACAAGGAAATCCCTAAAATAAAGACTTAATCATCACAGATACAAAATACTGGGATCTCTTATAGTGGATACAAAAACTCCTGGATGTTGCAGGAGAAACTATTTTATTGCTGGTCTCACGAAGCAATTGGATTTTACAGCGAACTGAAGGCTGTGTCTCCAAAAGTTCTGGGTTTGGTGCGGGGGATAGAGAGCTGGCACAAGATAAGAGCTTACAGGGTTTAAGGAGAGGGGTGGAGGAGAAGAGTCAGGGTGTTGAGTTCTGTCGGCAGCAGAGCAGTGACTGAGGAGGTATGTGGCTGATTTTATAATGAGACACAGAAGTGTATCATTGGCGTAGCTGTAAGAGCTGAGTGATTCAACCAAGAGGTCAAATCAGTGGTAAAGAGGAGGGGCCCAAGCACAGAGCCCTGAGGCACACCTTCATCGACCATATTGTCTCATATGTCAGTTGTTAAAGCGTGTTGGCTCAAACACCGCTTCTGTTGAACAAGAGAGTTTCTTGGTGTGTGTGGCGACCTCATGTTTTCTCATATTCAAGCCTAAAATATTGTTAATTGTCACGACGGCGAGGTTGAAAACAGAAAAAGGACCCAAAATACAAGGGTGACAAAAAAGGGTTTATTTAAAACACAAACTAAACAAGAAGCAACAAAAACTTTCTGGTAAATGTCCAACTTAAAAATCCAAACTCCAACAAAGGCACTGGAGACACTGAAGATACTGAAGACACAGACACACGTGACACTTTACAATAACCATAACTTATAAATGGTAAAAAGATCATTTATAAATCATAGAGAGTTTATTAATGTTTAATCATAATTTATAAATAGCATATAGACCATTAATAAATTGTAAATTTTACAATTTTAAAAACCTAACCCTTCTCAATAACCATCTAAGTAATGTTTATAGGTGGTTTAAAAACCAAACATTAACCATTTACAAAGTTCTACTGACACACATTTAAATCTAGATAGTTTACAACCAACATTTAAACCATGTATAAACCTTTAATAAAGAGTCCATTAATAATTAATGAAAATTATTCATCATAATTTCATTGCTTGTTATTGGTAAAGTAACTATTAACTTACGTTGACAAACTATCTATTTGGCATTTATAATTGGTCTATATGCTGTTTTATAAATTATGGTTATTGTAAAGCGTTACCGACACACAGACTTCCAACACAAACCACACAATAAACCAACAAAGAAACAGGGGAAGACAAGGACTAATATATACACAGAGAAATGATCAACGAGAGGCAGGTGAGACACAGGTGCAGACAATCACAGAGGAGGGAAAACTGAGGAAGTAAAACAAGACTAGAAACACAGGGAATAAGCTCCTACAAAATAAAACAGGAAACACTGAAAACTGAGAACATGAGAGAACCGGGGTCAGACACAAACTCGATGGGACCACGGGGGTACGGGAACAATAGGGGACAGGGACACTAGGAAAAATCACAAAGAAGATACACTCAAAGTTGCATGGTGAGAAACAACATTTTAATTGATCAATCCTTGATCCAGAGACTTGATCTGCATAAAAAGAAAAAAATATGATGCTTACTGCAGGATGTTATGTAGGTGTGGCTTTAGTGTTATTCCATTAAAAATGTCAGGCAACGGACTGTACAATATGGAATACACAAAGTGTTTTTATGTGAGTGTGTTAGAGTGTGCATCCTGTAACAGGCAGTGGTGCCACTTTCATCCTGTACAATGTCCGACTGCCATGACTCCCATTAAGACCTGTCCCAGGACACTGAACACACACTCATACACACTCGCACACACATATGGGCCTTCACTAAGTGGCCCGCCATCTTGCACTCTGAGTCTCTGGTCCCTTCACATGCATAGCCACACACACACACACACACACACACACACACACGCACACTTCCTTGGCTGCCACATACAGGCACATGCATGCAACACAGTCATCCATGTAGGCACCAGCAGTAGCATGTCAGGATGAGGGAAAACACAGGGGATAGAGATGGCCAACTACTCCAGAGCACGCACACACTCACACACACACACACACTCTGACACACACTCATGCATGAGCTAATGCCGCCCTCCTGCTGGCCTCTATGGAATAGCCATGTCACAATCAAGAGGCTCCCCGGCCCTAATCTGCTTTTTAGGGCCCCGCCACAAACACTCATCTGCATAATCGGGACGACAAGTGTGGAGAGGGTGAAAGAGCAACAGAGGGAGGGAGGGAGGAGGGGAGGAAGGATAGACAGAGGAGGGACAGAAGGAGGCAAGCGAGCTGGTAGAGTGGATGGATGGAGGAAAGTGTAAAGTGGGCTGATGACGAATGGAAAGAAAGGCTGCAATGAATGAAAGATGAGGGGAGGAGGGGAGTGAAGGAAATACAGGCAGAAAAGGGAGTCAAGGTGTGTATATTTGTGCGCTTGTGTGTGTTTAAATAGTAGAGCAGAGTCTGATATTGGTTATGACAGTCACACCTGCCGCCTCTCCTCACCCTTCACCTCTCCTCCTCCTGCTTTTATTTCCCTCACACATCAGAAGTCATTAACACAGACTGAAGGGGTGAGGCTGCAGCTAATCCTTCTAAATCTTCTCCTCACCCTTTACTACCTCTCGGTTCCCCCCATCGTTAGTCTTGTTCTTTTTCTATACTGTTATAATATACTAACCTGATAACCAAGGCGGTACAGAGACTGAAGGAATAATGAATATCAGTATCAATCCAATACATGTACTGTATATTGTAATTATCGTTTTTGCCACTTGACTTTGCTTCAAACTTGAGGTGTTTTGGTGGACAATGTGGCTCTTGGTTTTGAAGTCTTGAAAAACAGAATCTAAAATTAATACCACATGTGGGCAGATTTCCCTTCTGACAAGTCACAGGTAGATATCTGTACTTAAAAATTCATGAATATTTTAGATTAATGATGCTGATATAAGGGATTTCACAGATGCTAGTGTAAGAAAAATGTGGAGTTTTTTGAAATGGAAGCTATGCGAAGCTGCTCTATGGTTGTCTCAAACTTCCAGTAAAAATGATCATAACTGGTCTCCTTTAAGCTAACCTTGGTCAGTTCTTCTTTATCACACCAGGAGCAATGCTGGTGATGATGCATCGCCCAGGTAAATAACAGATTTACATAGGAGGAACTCAAAGAGGTGCTTCGATCCTTACAAATTTATATATATATTGAAATTGGACTCCATCTGTTTCTTTCAGACCAACTTCATCCTTTAAATGCTCTCTGGATTGTCTCCTGCTCTAATGCAGATGTATTCATGCAGTCTGCTCTCATTTCTTCTCGCTTATTGCCTCTCTCCTCCTCTGCTTCTCTTTTGCATATGATACATGTCGTCTGGCAAGGTGAGTCCAGCCGCTACGTTAAAGAAAGCCGAGCGGAGCTCAGGGGTTCAGGACCCCAGCCGAGGCCCGCATGCAGAGTGGGGATAAGAGGCACATCCATGGACGGCTAATTGAGAGGCCTTTAAAATTCCCACAGAGGACCAATCATGGTTTTCATCTGGGGGTACTCGGGGCTGAGAGGGGCCAGCGAGGGCCTCTCAAATAGAGGAAAGTGACATGAAGATGTGCAGCTGCCCTGAGACCTTGAGTATAACTCTGCACATGGAGAGATTTTCAAGTAAAAATACACGATTTTCTCAAACTGTCCACTTCAATTCAGACGCCAGAATAGGGTGACGTAATGTTTGGAAGCTTAAGTTTATTTAATGTCTATGTAATTAACACAGACCCTCTGAGAGATTTTAAACATTTTAACAGATTTTTTTTTTATGTTAGACCCCTCACATGATGAATAGAAGGAGTTTAAGCATGTACAGAGCATCAAGGTCATAGTTATTGTTGTAGCAGGAGCAAAGAAAGACAAAAATGCTAAAAAAAAAAAAATGTATGTAAAAACCTGTAACTCTAATGGTGTTGTAAACACTAACAAGTTGTTTTAAAGTCATTTTTGTGCTGTACAGGTAAATGAAAAAAAAAAAGGGCTTCTTGCGATGGTCCCTGAGTGTGTGTGGCTTTCAGTTATTCTGTGGCCAGCCCCTAGTGGACATCTGAGGAACTGCACTCTGTGATTTCTCAAGATTGGAGGCTGAAGTTTTCCACAAAACAACAAACTGGTCCCCCATTTTAGACTTCCAGCTGAGGCCCTATCCACATAAGTTCAGATATTTTTTGGCTCCAATAACAAAGTTCTACTTATGTTAAATATGTGAGGGTTCAAACCTGGGCAATAATTAATTAAATCTGTGACATTTAGTGAAAATGTGTTGTGTCCATGCCTGTTGACTAATAAATCTAAGAGGAGTCTCCATAAGCTTCACAAGTCCAGAAACCGTAACCTACATAAACAAGTCTGTGGGCTTGAAAATCAAGATTCATTGAGGAAAAAAGGACATTAAAAGCTTTTTAAAGAGCAGCTGTTTGATATTTCCCCTTTTTTCTCCAGCATTCCTCCTGAAATGGCACATTAGATATTGGATAAAAAAATGTTTCTCTGTGCCTAAATGCATAAATATCTTAGAACGTTTTCCTTTGCACTCACGTCTTTCTTCGATTTCTTGGCTTCCAGAAAATGCAATCAGATGAAAACAAGGTCCAGAGGCTCTACACTTTCTGACCAGACCACATTTGTAAAACATCCACCTTAGAAAACACATCAGTTTTATAATTAATGGAGAGTTGAAAAATGTTGTGTGTGCTCCCTGTTTGTTGCTCTGAGGCTGAGAGGATTTGTTCCCCTGTGCGGTACACTTCTAATACTGACTCAGTTTTAATCTCTCAGTCCATGGATCCATGCATTTGTCTAATTAAAACCAGAATCACTTCTTTCCTACTACAATCTGCATCTGAAATGCAAAGCTCTGGATCCATCATGACTGCCTCACATACTCTAACATAATATTTGCTGTGCAGCTCTCGCAGACATGATTCACCCTAACAACGGCATGCATATTGCATCATCCCGACATATGTTTTCAGGGAATATCTCTTTTATGCATTAATATAAATCCTCTAGAGTTTCTAGTGCAACACGGCATGATGAGCAATGCAGGCGCAGAATAAAGCAATCAAAACCTGTAAACATGTTCAGCCTTGTGATGGATCTTGAATTTGGTAGAGGAAGTCAATGTGAGGCGCATAAAATAGGAAAACACTTCCCTGAAAGGAATTGACATGTTGAAGGTTCGAGTCCAAGTAGAAGAGAAGAGATTTGATTCAGTATTGATATTAATTGATTTCATTGACGCTCAGGAATAATGAAAAAACTGACCATGAGAACTCATCCAACTGTAAAATGCAGGATATCAGGGAATTTACCGAAATGAAGGCGCCACTTTTAAAATGTCATTTTTAAAAAACAGTGTTTTCCTCGCCAATCCTTCACAGCTCCTGATCATAAAAACTAATCTGATTGTTTGTACCGTACTTCACCACTTGCAGCTCCTGTCTTCCATTCATGCATGTCTGTGTGCGTCCTGTTTAGGGTGACCATACATCCTCTTTTACCCGGACATGTCCTCTTTTTTGGGGGGCTGTCCGGGCTTGTCCGGCTTTGTCTGGGAAGGTTTATGAAATCCTTCCAATGTCTGCAGTTTTGTGCGGAAGTTTTGAGTTTGTGACACTCAATCCAACCCCAAAGACTCTTAAAAATTAACTCTGTGCAACTCTGTGACTCCGCCCCCCGCGTAGTCGTGTCCTCTTTTTGGGAAGTCAGAATATGGTCACCCTAGTCCTGTTACCACCTTAGCCTCACAGCCTGAAAAGCGATGGTGCAAAGGTCAGCTGAGACGCCAAAGTTATCAAAAGTTACAAACTGTAACACTTTCAGTTTAGAGCGATATAATTATTTGGGCAAATTATATAAACCAGATGATGAACTTAGTTTTGACCAGACCACATTTGATGACCACCTACGTTAAGAAGTTGTGTAAAAAAAAGGTGTTGCTATAGGTTACAGGACTATGCTGATCTTTACTCTACAAATTCTGCTCAACTACTCCTCCTGTGGCAAAAGTTGAACTGCATGGCGATGGGTGAAGGAACAGGCATAGAGGGTTGATGGGTGAGTTCATATGTTGCAAAAAAGGGGGAGGTTCAGGGGGTGGAGTGGCGTTGGGAGGGTGTTTCCCCAGCGGGACGCATTAACAAGCCCATCCAGTTAAATGTAGCCCCTGCATTACCTAATGTACCGGCCCTTCTCCAGCAGTGTGGGAGACAGCCGCATCCATTATTGATCAGATGTAGCTTCGCCTCTGAAGCTGGAAGCCTGGTGGAGGGAGAGGGATGGAGATGGAGATTTAGAGAAGGGAGTGAGGGAGGAGGGAGTAACGAAGAAAGGAGGGGAGGAAGAGGAGAGGGATTTGTTACGAAAGGGCAATAAAGTTGAAGAGATGATTATGAGGACTTCGCTGTCATCTCAGTCTTCATCACATTTCCTCTAGAAACTTTTATTTGCCGTCGCTGTCACTTACATCTCCCACCAAGTCAGCGTACACTCTCCCTCCTCTTTCAGTCCCAATCGCAGCCCAACTCTCCATGTTTCTCTTTTCTTTTATAGATGATTTGTAAGCATCGATCACATATCGTCCCTGCTGACAAGTAGCCGGGCTTTGCGTTGCTCACATCATCATCATCCACATGTTTTCTCTCAATTCAGCTTTTCTCCGATCATCCCGCCGTCCTTCGTTTTATCATCCCTCCCTCCTTCCCTCCCTGGTGGGTTCGGCTCGGGGTGGAATTTGAATTTCACAGAAAGTCATCGGAGATTTGATTTGGTTTATGCTCAGTTAGTTGTGAAGGGAAGTTGGGCGTCTTATTTCTCTCTCTTCCTTGTTTGTGTTTCAATCTCCTGGTTGCCAGATGAGCCAAGAGCTGAAAACAAGCTTTAGCTGAAAACCTTGGGATCCTCCAACAGCTACAGTTTTACAACCCTCTGGAGGAGCTGCTTTCCTTACTATATATCGCTACCATGAATTTTTGGGCTGCGGTTATCATGAAGTAAAATTGGGGTATCATGAAAGCCCTGCAGTTGTGGTCTCTTGATTGTCTGTTGTACTGTATCACTCTTGGTGCCAAAAACTAGCAGCACAAATTTGTCTCAAAAGGGAGCGGTTTTCTAAACTTTTTGATTTAATACAGCGACAAATTCGCATGACAGAGTTTCACAAAGGCCGCCTGGAAACAGAAATTCAGAGATGACATTAGAAATTAAGGTTCAAATAAAGATAGATGCTCTAAAAGTTGTTTAAGTTTCGTTAAGTGAATACATGACAAAATGCAGATTCTTGAAGAGTTCTTTTGCCGTACTTTTGAACTTTTTTATGCGGTTGGATTACACCCAAAAGTGTTTATAATACTGTTCCCTGGGAAAGTTGGGCAGGCTCAACTCAGTCTAGTAAGGGCTGAAGTGTTTGGTGTCCAACTATAAAGTTTTGGTACAAACCCCTGCAAAGCCTGACCCAGCCTAGGGGTCACTGGATTGGACTTCCTTGAGAAGCTAGCGAGTCTGGTACTAAGCCACTTGTAGGCATTTCTGGGAAATTTTGAGCCTCAGCATGCTAATTGCTGATTGACACAACTTTTGTTTCATCATTGCAAAAAATTAGAAATAATAAAAACCCTGTGATTCTTTCAGTCAAGCCAGGGCGAGGAACTCAGTTGGGTTTCATGTTTGTGTTCGCTCGTGCTCTTGTTCTTGACTCGTCTGTGAGAGTTATCGTAAGATAGACTGTTTTCTTCTTGTGCCTGTCTCTTCATTATGACGTCTGTGTGTGAGCCGGAGTCGAGCGGGGGTAAAGATGAATTATTGATGGAGTTTCAGTGCAGAATTGTGTGACAGTTTGCTTTAATTTCCCATTTAGCCGGAATAAGGAGAGACAGCAGTGTGAGAACTGATCAATACGACACAGTGAACCAATGCATGCATACATATAAAGAGTTCTGTGTGCGCACATGGGTACGTACATTCAAGAGAGAAAAACACACAAATGATTGGTCTTTCGAGGATATGCTGCTAGAAATATTGATCACAAGCAAACTTTTGACCATTTTTTTTTTTCATAAAGAGGGTTATATATGCAGTATTCTCAATCAAGGACTCGAACCCTAACATATGTTAAAAGACAATTTTGATATACAATCTTCTCAGAACAAGATTAACATTAATAAGCTGTCTCTACAACATGCATACCATTGTGCACGCTGCACAATGACAGTTAAGCTTCAACGACTTGCATACATGTTTACATTGACAGCTGCTGCTGGGCGATAAGGAAGCAGTGACATGTTTTAGCTCATTAGACTTACATTGAACATCCTGAAATGTGCACCAGAACTGCAATTGCAACATTTTGTCCAGCTCCACACGCAGGGATGTCTGGTCATTAACTAGGACTTGGTTGAAATATGTGCAGAAGTTGCGCATGACTTTAACTTTCCCAGCATTTTACCCCAAACCTGGTGCAGAAACTTTTGCTTCAGTTAAAGACTGTATTTTTTTTTTAACTGTATAAAACACTGTTTCATCCTGATTGAAAATCCAGGTTTGATTTTTCCCCTCCTCCCTCCCCCTCCTGTCTCTCTGTATTGATCTCCACCTGAAGTTGGATGATGATCGGAGCCGCTACGCCTCAAAGAACAATTAATTGTGCATGTGATCGATGTTCATCCAGAAATCAATGAGGCTCTGCTCTTCTCCCTGTCTCCTTGACTATATCATTGTTTGTGTGTGTGCATGGGTTAGTGAACAAAGGTGTGATCGTATGTGTGTGTGAGTATGTGTGCTCATTGGTTGATGTTCACTCTTCACTTGAAGGACTTTTGCACCTGGACTATTTTTATGTCATCTTTCTTGGTTTTCTTTAAAAGGATATTTCAACATTTTTTAAGTACTTTAGTAAGTGTTTTAGTCACAATGGATGATGGCCAGTTCTGCTCCTTCTATGAGAAACTTGTGGGAAATCCAGCATGCAAGCTAGGTTACAGTTTTCTGCAGATGGGGCTAACTCTACCAAGTAACTTTGCCAGCTTTAAGAGTCTCCAACACATGCACTCCTGTTGGTTTAGATCTCTGCTATCAGAAAACCCAATACAGTGTATTCTGATGAGGTAAACATATTGTTTGGACTGTGGAGCTGAACATTTACTTTTAAAATGCACATCCATTTGGTCTCTCTGGTTTTCTGGTTTAACTTCTAAATATTGGAGAAAGTCCATGACCAAACGCAGCAGTCAGTAATGCAGTGGAGTCTGATTCATGACTTCCAGAGGTCCTGAGGTAACCAAGTAATGCTTGTGATGGCAAGAGAAATAACGTTTCTCTGGGTTTTATTCTGGTATACTGCCCACAGCTCTCTCTTTAGATACGAAAAAAGGTCCTCATACGCTGAATTTTACAGAAACTGGGATCGTTGTT